GAGACCCCAACCAAAAAAAAAAAAAAAAAAAAAACCTAAACAGTAACACACTTGATCTAGCAGGAAAGTTAAAACAAAACGATTAGCAAGAAAAGTATTTCTAAATTAAGATTTAGGGAATCCACATAGTTCCAATAACCATCGAACCTGCTTTTATTTATTTATTTTTTTTGAGTTGGAGTCTCACTCTGTCGCCCAGACTGGAGTGCAGTGGCTGCTCCCGGCCACCGCAGCCTCGACCTGCTGGGCTCCGGCGATCCTTCCGCCTCATCCTTCCGAGTAGCTGGAATTACAGGCACGCGCTACCACGCCCGGTTGATTTTTTGATTTACTGTAGAGATGAGGTCTCGCTGCCCAGGCGGGTCTCGAACCCGCGGGCTCAGGCAATCCACTCACCTCAGCCTCCCAAGGCGCGGGATTGCAGGCTGAGCCACCAAGCCCAGCTCAAACCTGCTTTTAGATACAAGTCCTATTAGGTCCAAATACACTCAACCCAGAAGAGGTAACTAGGCCTGCACGCCTTCACTCATGGACGGACATCATTGAAAGCTCAATGTCTTCCATTTGTTTCATGTTTATTGTATTAATGTCTAAGCATTGTGCTAAGATGGCTAAGTGTTGTGTTAAGATGCCTTATATAGAGCTATGTCTTATACTGTGTTAAAATTTGCTGTGGAAGCTGGGCTCTTGTTGTAGAATGAGAATATTGCTTCCTTGGCCTCCCGTGTCTGGAAGTTCACCCTTCTGTAGCGTTTGAATTCATTCTGTTTATTCTTTAGTTATCTGTCTGACCCCCACACACATTCCTTCACGTGGCTTTTGTTGCTTTGGTCTCCCTTGACTCTCTGTGTGGTTGTGCGCTTTCTTCCACCCTGTTTCGCAATCTCCATGAGAACGTGGGCCTGGGATTCCCAGGGGCACCTTGTTTAGTACTGTACACACAGCAGGTGTTTAAGACAATTACTGAGTTGAAAACATATTCTTGGGGCCGGGCGCAGTGGCTCAGGCTGTAATCCCAGCACTTTGGGAGGTTGAGGCGAGAGGACTGCCTGAGCCTGGGGGTTTGGGACCAGCCTGGCAACTTGGTGAGATCTTGTCTCTACTATAAATCACAAAAAACTAGCAGCGTGTGGTGGCGCACGTCTGTAGTTCCAGCTACTCAGAAGGCTCAAGCAGAAGGATCGCCTAAGCCCAGCAAGTTGAGGCTGCAGTGGCCATGAGCATGCCACTGCACTCCAGCCTGGGTAACAAAGAGTGAGACTCCAACTCAAAAAAAAAAAGAAACACATTCTTAAGAATCCTCCTTTTCTGATGACACACAGTATTCATGGTCTACATCAGAGCCATGACTGACAGAATGAAGTTCATTATATACATTGTATTTCAGAGCTGCCACCACTGTTGGAAGGCACATCTAACTAAGCCTGACCAATTAGTCACCCAGGCTGGAGTATAGTGGCACAGCCTGTCTTGAAAGTTCTACATTGTGGCAACATGCAACTTCCTTGATTTATAAAGGTTAATCCACCCTGTGTGTGGACAGGATAGTAGGGAGTATACCTAATCAGGTTCACCCAAACTCACCTAGTAAGGGTGGGGAGGCTAGATGTTTTTTGAGTCAGAGTCTCACTCTGTCACCCAGGTTGGAGTGCAGTAGCACACTCACAGCCACCGCAGCCTCAACCTGCTGGGTTCAGGCAGATCCTTCACCTCAGATTTCCAAGCTGGAATCATAGGCACACGCCACCATACCCAGCTAACTTTTTGGTTTATCGTAGAGATGAGGTCTCACCATGTTGCCCAGGCTGGTTTCGAACCCCTGGACTCAGGCAATCCTCTCACCTTCGTCTCCCAAAGTGCTGGGAGAACAGGTGTGAGCCACTGTGCCTGGCTGAGGCTAGATTCTAATGTCGCTGATGCAGGATTAATTCTAATTAGCAGACTGCTATGAAATTCTAAGGTACAGGACATTGAGATATGCAAAAGAAACCAGAGAGGGACATTTGAGGGTGCTCAAAACATCTATATAAATATAGGCCAGGCAGACTGGCTTGTGACTGTAATCCTAGCACTTTGGGAGGACAAGGCAGGAGGTTCACTTGAGCCCAGAAGTCTGAGACCAGCCAGGGCAACACAGTGAGACTATGGCTCTACAAAAAAAAAAAATTAGCCTGCAATGGTGGCACGTGCCTGTCATCCCAGCTACTTGGGAGGCTGAGGTGGAAGAACTGCCTGAGCCCAGGAGGTTGAGGATACAGTTAGCCACGGTCATGTGTGCCACTGTACTCCAGCCTGGGTGATAATAAGACCACAACCAAGCCAGGCTCAGTGGCTCAGCCTGTAATCCCACGCCTTTGGGAGGCTGAGGTGAGTGGGTTACCTGAGCCCGCGGGTTCGAGACACGCCTGGGCAACTTGGTGAGACCTCATCTCTACAATAAATCAAAAAAATTAGCCAGGTGTGGTGGCGTGTGCCTGTAGTTCCAGCTACTTGGAAGGCTGAGGCGGAAGGATCGCCGGAGCCCAGCAGGTCGAGGCTGCAGTGGCCGGGAGCAGCCACTGCACTCCAGCTTGGGCGACAGAGTGAGACTCCAACTCAAAAAAAAAAAAAAAATTAGCTGGGCATGATGGCATACACCTGTAGTCCCATTTACTTGGGAGACTGAGGCAGGAAGATCACTTACTTGAGCTCAGGAGGTCGAGGCTGCAGTAAGTCATGAGCATGCCACTGCACTCCAGTCTGGGCATCAAAGTGAGACCCTAACTTAGAAAAAAAAAGGAAAAACTCAGGCTCACACCTGTAATCCCAGCATTTGGGGAGGTAGAAGTGAGAGGACTACCTGAGCCCAGGGGATCGAGAACCAGCCTGGGCAACTTGGTGACACCTTGTCTCTACAATAAATTAAAAAATTAGCCAGGCGTGGTGGCATGCGTCTGTGGTTCCAGCTACTTGGAAGGCTGAGGTGGAAGGATTGCCTGAGCCCAGCAGGATGAGGCTGCAGTGGCTGTGAGCGTGCCCCTGCACTCCAGCCTGGGCGACAGAGTGAGACACCGACTCAAAAATAAAGGAAAAATGGAAACAAATGATCCATGAAAAATGTATTAAGGTAAAAAAAAAATTCAGTAAAGCTTATTTATTGCTGTGGTGGGCGTTAAGTGTTCACTGATATGAAAACTCATCAGGCCGTATACTCAAGATGAGTGCTCTTTTTACTGGATGTATGTTATGCTTTGGGAGGAAAAAACTCTTAACATTGAGTTACCTTACCATGCTGACACGGACCTTAGACCCAATGTTCCCCATCTATGCCTTGTCTATCCACTATGGTGGCAAAGAAGAGAGGTACTTTGCGGAGCACCTTCTAGAAAACCTGAGGAAAGACAGGTTGTGACTTCTTGTGTGTTCTTTTCTCCCCCCAAGTGAACATCCCCTGAATCCTCCAAAGCACTCAGTGCACTGCCCTGAAACAACACCTGACAATTTCTACAACTCCCCAGGGACTGCGAAATCCTGCCGTCATGACACCAGGCTCTGTGGGAGACATCGCCGCACTGGTATCTCTTAGTACCGTTCCCATTCTCCCCTTCATCTGGGTGCTAGGATGAAGCATCATATTTGCATTTTCTAGACCTTCAAAAAAAGTTCTGGGATGTGGGTTGGGAGAATAAACTGGGATGACCCTTATGGAATACAATTTTACCACATTTATCAGAATGAAAAAATGCACATTTCCTTCAGCCCGGCAATTCTGCTTCTAGTATTTATCCTCCAGATACATTACATATATGCAAACTGATAAATGCGTAAGGTTGTTCCTTCAAGCAGTTTATAATAACAAAACAGTGGGGAAAAGTATGCATCACGTGGAACACATAAAGGATGCCTATTTGATAGAATATTATACAGCTACGAAACAGAATCATCAGTGCTTCCTCTTTGTTGGTAATTTACAAAAAAGCAGAATCAGTGAACTCTTTGCACAAGAGGGGCCCCCCAAAAACTTGGGAATTATTTTTTGGAAGGTGGGCCCCTAATAGCACATGCTTCTTCTCTAGGTAAGTGTTCTAGGAACCCATCCATCAGCATCGGTGTACCAGCTAGTGCTGTTGTAAGAGGCTGCGTTTGGCTTCAGTGAATTTTTTTTGGAGAATCTTTCAACACATTTGCTCATTTTGTGATGGGTAATTTACGAGAACACCTGCCCACACTGAGCTGAGAATTCAGCAGTTTGGGATCAAAAACGGCATATCTTGCATGCCCTACCCGATTCACCTGATCTTATCCTGAGCAATTTGGTTTTTGTGTCCTCAACGAAAAAAGTCCTCAGAGGGAAACGTGAGGACTTTGCCCATGTGGAAGAGGTGAAACAGAAAACGGCAGAAGCACTCAAAGACATCAAAATTAACAACTTCAAAAACTGTTTTGAGTGGTGAAAAAAATATCTTGATAGTTGTATTGCATCAAACGGAGAGTCCTTTGTAGGTGACTGAAGTTTATACATATAAGAATAAATACACAAATGTTTATAAATAAATTCCGGTTTTTTGGGCCTCCTCTCATACACTGATATGGACAATATCCAAGATAAGACACATCGCTAACAATGCATTTCGTATGCCCGTATTTTTAAGGGGGAAAAAAATCAATATACATATTTGGCCTGCATATCTATTTTTTAAACTCTCTGGAGGAACATAAAAGAAACTGATGATATTAGCTGCCTGCGGGGAAAGAAACTAGGTAGCTGGTACCTTTTGTCCCTTTTAAATTTTATACTACGTGAATGTATTGATTTCAATAATAAGAAAGATGATGACGTACACAAGAATAAACAAGATGTGCAAATTGTTCCAAACGAATTTGGGGACATTTCTGTATTTAGATACACAAAGATCACTGTGCTACGTGTTCATTACAGTAATGTGCTGTACATCTTTGGAGCCCAGGAACGATACGCTGCGCCATCTAGGCTTGTGGAAGTACACTCTGTGTTGTTTGTGCAAGGATGAAATTGCCAAACACATCTCTCAGAACATGCCCCCATTAACACTGATCCATCATCCATTGTCAAAAATGACATCCAAGTCTGTACCATTACCTCCAACATCCTTCTTCCACTAGTCATCAGGCTGACTTAGCCTTGGGCTTTAGGTGCCATTTTATTTTTTCACTTTTTATTTTTATTTTTTTTTGTGAGTTGGAGTCTCACTTTGTCGCCCAGACTGGAGTGCAGTGGCCGCTCCCGGCCACCGCAGCCTCGACCTGCTGGGCTCCGGCGATCCTTCCGACTCAGCCTTCCAGGTAGCTGGAACTATAGGCGCGTGCTACCACACCCGGCTCATTTCTGATTTATTGTAGAGACCCGCCAAGTTGCCCGGGCGGGTCTCGAACCCGCAGGCTCAGGCAATCCACTCACCTCAGCCTCCCAAAGGCGCGGGATGACAGGCTGAGCCACCGAGCCCGGCTTAGGTACCATTTACATAACCACAATGGTACCTACCCTAAGACTGACACTCATGAGGTTTTGCATCTCCCAGTAATAGGGAGTAACGGCAAAGGGGCTGTCAAAATTCCCGAATCCGAATTCAGATGAAGTCTTCTAGTTTGACAGACATGTTCGTGAACGGGGCTGAGCATGTGCCTTCTTTCCCTTCTTTTCCTAAGACCTAACAATTATTGGCAAGAGGAGAGACCCAGCACACCCTGACCTCTGCTCAGTAACGCCCTCTCCGCCTCACCTACACTTCAACACCAGAAATAGGAAAGAGCAAGCAGAACCGCATTCCTAGCGTGAAAGAGCCCAACCCAGCCTTTCAATTAAGCCAGTGAAAGGAGGCATTTTCAGCTTGCAGAGAGAGGGCCCCACCTTCCCCCCCCCCCCCTGGTTTTCCAAGTGGCCCCAGGCCTCTAATAACAAAGCAGAGATCGCTCATTCTCCAGCTTGTGTGCGGCCTCGGGTGGTTTTTAAAGGAGAATGGTACCAAACAACCACTGGCTCCAAACACGTGCAAATACTCGCTTTTTAGACTCAGTCTATCACATGTAGAGAGCCGCTACTTACGGGGTGGATTTATAGGAAGACTCTGGGTACGATCGCTTGTCATTCACTTTGCCATTGGAGGAGTAGGCGACGGGACTGTCAACCCTCTCCACATAGTCAGATGGCGGTGGAGGCATGTCTTGTGTGCCTGCAGACACATTTTTAACCTAAAAAAAAATCCCCAAGAGATGTAGTCATTATTTATCTCCTAATTTTTTTTTTTTTTTTGAGTTGGCGTCTCACTGTCGCCCAGACTGAAGTGCAGTGGCCGCTCCCGGCCACCGCAGCCTCGACCCGCTGGGCTCCGGCGATCCTTCCGCCTCAGCCTTCCCAGTAGCCAGAATTACAGGCACGCGCGACCACGCCTGGCTGATTTTTTGATTTATTGTACAGATGAGGTCTCGCTGCCCAGGCGGGTCTCGAACCCGCGAGCTCAGGCCATCCACTCACCTCAGCCTCCCAAGGGCGCGGGATTCCAGGCTGAGTCACCGAGCCCGGCATTTATCTCATAATTTAAAGGATAATTCTTAAGGGGTAAGAGATGAAAGAAACTTACCTTATGTAAAGTATCTGATATTTATGAGGCTCATTAAATACTATTAACACCAATAATAAAAAGGCAATTATGATAGGTTAATAGCTAAATCAGAGTTGTTATCAGCACATAAACAGTGTTAGCACTAGTTTGACAAGACCAGAACGATTAAGAAGGTAAATCCAATTACCTGATTCTCACCCCAATGTGATTGGGTGAAATAATGACACAGTAACTGTCACACCCCTCACCACCCTCACCCCACCTCCACATTAAGAAGACTGGTCTGTGGTTGGGCTCAGTGGCTCAGCCTGTAATCCCAGCGCTTTAGGAGGCCAAGGCAAGTAGATTGCCTGAGCCCGCGGGTTCGAGCCTGGGCAACTTGGCAAGACCTCGTCTCCACAATAAATCAAAAATCAGCCGGGCGTGGTAGCACGTGCCTATAGTTCCAGCTCCTTGGAAGGCTGAGGCGGAAGGATGGCCGGAGCCCAGCAGGTCGAGGCTGCGGTGGCCGGGAGTGGCCGCTTCCCTCCAGTCCGGGCGACAGAGTGAGACTCCGACTCAAAAAAAAGAAGACTGGTATCATTTCATCTCATGCCCGCATTAGAAAGACCAGGCCTATTTAGTCTAGGCGGTCTAGGACAAGGTTAGGGGAATTTTCATTTCTTTTCTTTTCTTTGTCTTGCGTCAGGGTCTCACTGTCGCCAAGACTGAAGTGCAGTGGCATGGTCACTGCTCACTGCAGCCTTGAACGGGATCCTTCTGCCTCAGCCTCTCAAGTAGCTGGAACTACAGGCATGTGCCAACATGCCCAGGTCATTTCTACATTTTTTTGTAGAACTGACTTTTATTTCTGCTGTCCAGGCTGGTCTCGAACGCCTAGGCTCAAGCATCTGCCCGCCTCAGCCTCCCAAAGTGCTGGTACTAAAGGCATGGGCCACCGCACCTGGCAGAGTTTTTATTTCCAACAGTTCTCAGGTAATGGCTAATGGTGCTGCCTGGACACCACACTTGGAAAAGCACTAATCTACAACACAGCATATTCGTCTTCCTAGTCCATTCGTCCTTAGACATGGAATGGTAAAACCACAGCTAAGACCAGGCGCAGTGGCTCACGCCTACAACCCCAGCACTTGGGGAGGCCGAGGTCAGAGGATTGCCTGAGCCCAGGGGTTCAAGACCCACCCCGGCAACTTGGCGAGACCTCATCTCTACAATAAATCAAAAAATTAGCTGGGCATGGTGACATGTGCCTGCAGTGTCGGCTACTTGGAAGGCTGAGGCGGAAGGATCGCCGGAGCCCAGCAGGTGGAGGCTGAGGTGGCCGGGAACGTGCCACTGCACTCCAGCCTGGGCGACAGTGAGACTCCAACTCAAAAATAAAATCAAATAAGATAAAAACAAAATGCAACAGCAATTACATACTACTTCCCCCCTTAAGCTATGTAATCATCTCTTGAAACTGTTTAACTTAATGATGTCCACACCAGACACCAGAATCCAGTGTTCAACCGTGGATCAAAGCTGTTTCTATAAACCGGTGAAAATTTCTGAGGAATAAATTTTTATCAATCCCCTCACCCCCTTTCCTTTTATGCCTTTAAAAACCTGCTTGTCACAAAGGCCAAATAGAGCAGTCCCCAAGGCAACTTGGAAGAGTGCCCCAGCAGCTGATCTCAACCTTGGCCCAAATAAACAATATTAAGCATCAGCTTCTTCCTTTAGGTCGACAGTAATATGAAAGGCTTGCCACAGGCCTGTTGGGATGAAAAAAAGATTTAAATATAAAAAGCATAGCCAATTAGATTCCCAACATTGTTAGATTTCAGGTGGCCACTCCAATACTTTTGAAATTTCACCTAAAAGTCTTTAAATTATTATGCAATGTACTTTGTACTTGATTTTGTCTATTCATTTATTTTTCTTTTTTTTTTTGAGTTGGAGTCTCACTCTGACACCCAGGCTGGAGGGCAGCGTCACACTCATGGCCACCGCAGCCTCGACCTGCTGGGCTCAGGCGATCCTTCTGCCTCAGCCTTCCAAGCAGCTGGAACTACAGGTGTGCACCTCCACACCCAGCTAATTTTTTGATTTATTGTAAACACGAGATCTCGCTATGTTACCCAGGATGAATTTTTTTTTAATGAAAAAAAAACAAACAAATAAAAATCAAAGACCCACAAACAAGTGATAACCCCAGACAAATCATGTAATTATTTTAACATAAAGGAATAGAAATACCTGATTCTCATCCCAATGGGATTAGTTAGGATAATTATCTACGGGAAAAGAATCAAAAGAAATCTACAGAATATTTCTGGGAAAAACAGCAAATTTTCAAAAACAGTGGGGTGGGATCACTTTAGCTGGGCGGTAAGAACAATGGCATTAGCCGGGCTTGGTGGCTCAGCCTGTAATCCCGCGCCTTTGGGAGGCTGAGGTGAGTGGATTGCCTGAGCCCATGGGTTCGAGACCCGCCTGGGCAACTTGGCGAGACCTCATCTCTACAATAAATTAAAAATGACCCGGGCGTGGTAGCGTGTGCCTATAGTTCCAGCTACTCGGAAAGCTGAGGCGAAGGATCGCTGGAGCCCAACAGGTCGAGGCTGCGGTGGCCAGGAGCAGCCACCACCCTCCAGTCTGGGTGACAGAGTGAGACTCCAACTCAAAAAAAAAAAAAACCAAAAAGAACAATGACATCAGGTTATCTGGGTTCACCCAGAGTCTGCTAACTACAAATTTTATAAAGTCTCAGTCTCATTTGCAAAAAAAACAAATCAAAACACAGCTACCTACTTTATGAAGCTGTCACGATGATTAAATGAAATGCCAAGATACCACATCTACCCGATGCCTTTTTTTTTTTCCTCAGTTGGGGTCTTACTCTGTTGTCCAGGTTAGAGTGTAGTGGCATGATCACAAGCTCACTGCAGCTTCAAACTTATGGTCCTCCCTTGACCTCCTTCTGCCTTAGCCTCCCAAGTAGCTGGGACTATAGACATGTACCACCAGGGCCAGCTAATTTTTTGGATTTTTTTTGCAGAGATGAGGTCTTGCTATATTGCCTAGGCTGGTCTCAAACTCCGGGGGCTCAAGGGATCCTCTTGCCTCAGCCTCCCAGAGTGCTGGCATGTGAGTCACCATGCACAGCTCACCTCGTGCTTTTAAACGAAGTACAAACTCAGACGTGGGATTCTGGAACGAAGGCCACTGGATCTGATCAAACGATTTTAATGAGAATCTGGAGGTGACGGCAGACCTTTAATTGGATTATTTTGCTGTTATAAAGCCTTGCGATTGGGTTCCACGTCCACACAGTGTATTTCACCGCAACAGGCACACCTTGCGTCTTAAGTTTCCCATTCTTAGTAGCATTCAGACATGGCCTGCGTTTCCAGGATATCGCTGCTGTATCACACACCGCAAGACACTGACCTGGCCCTCCAAGGGCACCGCAGTATTCTTGATTGTTTAATATTCAGAACTGGAAAGGAATGGAATCATTTCCCTCTGCCAGTGGAATTTGGCAGTAACCAGGAAACCAGTGGGTGGGTTGCCCGGAGTGCACTTAGATCCCACCGCAGGGGGCAGGGTGGGAACCATTCTTGGCTCCCCCAGAATTCCTTACAACAGATGTTGTCAAGCTCACAGTCAAATGTTCCACCAATCCAAAGGCCTCTTCTTATTCTGGGGACTTTGTACAAATTTTAAAAGACTTCCTTTCTTTTTTTTTTTCTTTTTGAGTCTGAGTCTCCCAGACTGGAGTGCGAGTGGCACGCTCACGGCCACCGCAGCCTCGACCTGCTGGGCTCAGACAATCCTTCCTCCTCAGCCTTCCAAGTAGCTGGAACTACAGGTGCACGCCACCATGCCTGGCTAATTTTTGATTTATTGTAGAGACAAGGTCTGATCGGTTGCCCAGCCTGGTCTTGGATCCCCGGCTCAGGCAACCCTCTCCCCTCCACCTCCCAAAGTGCAGGGATTACAGGCGTGAGCCACCACGCACAGCCAGACTTCCTTTCCTTAAAAACTCATTTTATACTTCTCCAGGTCTCCCTCCCTCCTCCCAAGCATGAACTTGAGCAGAGTCTGGGTATCCTTTTAGAGATTTCTAGAATATCCTTCCCCCTTTCTTGGTCAGCTATTCTCTCAATTGGGTTTCAATGCTTGGCTCATAAGCCACTACTTCCTAGAAACCCACAGGCCCCTCCTCACACCTGTGCATACACACCTCCCACCAGAACGCCCATGCATGGGAAAACAATCACTTACTCACGGTGTGCTGGCTTGCTCACCTGCCTCTCACCGCAGTAGGCAGTGGACTGTGTTTAAGCCACTACTGGCTGCTTGCCGTGAGTCACATACTGAATGGCCAGGTTATTGAACAGGTACAGCGTTACAGGTGAGGATCATCCCTTTTCAGAAATGAGGAAGTTGTGGCTCAGGCCATCAGACAGCTTTCCCAAGGGCCCAGACTGAGTGAGTGGACGCTAAGAGGGGGGTGGTCTCCTTTGGTCCCCTTTGAGTCTTCTCAGCCCCTCACAGTTCCTGGAACAAATTAGGAGCCCAGAATCTGCTGCATAAAAGTCACCTCATGGATTCACACTGGGCTGACCTTTATCTCCTAGTGTC